TGAATGGGAACGGGTGTTCTAAAGTTATTATCTTTCTTTAAAATTGTACATGCTGCAAATTTCACAAATACAATGACATTTGAGTAAGTGGAACTTATAATAAATTTAAAAAAAAAAATATTTTACAGGCGAAATTAGTAAAACAAACTTGCCAATTTAAAAATAATCAATAAGCAGAGAGTGTACAATTGAGAATATTTATATGCGTGCAACATACATCAATGATAGTTTTATGGTTAGGCATCAAAAGGTCCGAACATTTTGAAGTCACATCCAACTATCACAACACATAAAAATATTATAACCATTTATATATTACGTATTTATCAAAATTGATTTTACAGGTTAATAATTGATACGTTACTGTGCCATATTTTCTTACACCTTTCTTATTCAATATTCAATGGTTTAAGTGCATTTTACAGACTGAACTATGACTATATTGATGCCGTATTTGCTAAACACATCGGAATTGAAGATGAGTACTATTTAATTACTACATGTTAAGAATAAGTTTATAAAGTACCATGTACCTGAACGAGATCACATAAGAAAAAAACGCATTGCTTTAATCATTAACCGATCTATATGATTTAATTGCTCCACGCACCTGTTCATAATTATCATAACCCTTCATTCATACTGAAGAATATCGCGAAAAAGAACGGTAAAACATAGTACTCAACAAGTCATTGTTTGTGGGGAAACAGTCGTATAAATAAGGGTTAAAATCATTCTCCTTGTGCCTATAAACGTGTTCAGTTCAGTAAGTTATCGAAAGGCAAACGAATAGATTTGATTGTTTTCCAATTAAGATGTGAAAAGGTTCAGTAAAAGAATCAATATTTATGATTAAATACTCAAATGTTAGAAAAGGAAGGATATATTTTCTACTGTTACATTGAATTCAAGAAGTGAGATATTTAAATTTAATATGATATATTATAATCAATATTTATTGCAAAACGATTTTAAACTATTTTTCCGATTTTTTATATTTAATGGAGTACTACTTAGAATTGCCTTTACCCAGACAAATTGTGAGCTTCAAAATGGACAGTGTACATATAATATCAACCTCAGTACAGTGGGACTTTGTGAAACGCCGCCGGCGGAAATTATTCAACGCCCGAATAAAGAAAAACATTTAGAAAAAGAATATGGAAAAATGCACGAAATGCAGCAGGACTTCAATATAGTAAAATCTGAACATGACTCAAGAATAAAGGAACTGGAAGAATCGGTCCAAAGATTGCTTAGAAATGCCATTCCGTACCATGAAAGTGGAAGATCTCGATCAAGAGATGTGTTTATAGAGCATGTTTCTGACACCCGGCCTGTATCCAGGGAATCTGGAGGAAATATTCTTTTATTTCAATTGCAGCATCAGTTCAATACTTTGCGTAAGTCATTAAGTGAAAGAACTGCGGACTTGTTAGAGACTCGCAACAAACTCAACGAGACAACGGATCTTCTAAATGCTGCTCAAAAACAAGCAATGGATTCCAATAGTAAATTGGTCAGCTATGAAACAAATGCGGCTGTTATTGAACGGGAAAATAGAATTATGAAAAATAAACTAAAGCATAAAACAGAGCATTTAGATTATATTTCATATAAACTTAATGCATCCGAAATAAAACTTTTAAGTGTAGAAAATCAACTGTATGACGTGGTTAGATCAGAGTCAAATCTAAGGGAAGAGTTAGCAACTTTGAATTTAAAATTCAATTCGACACTCATAGAAATGGAAGAATTACAAAATAATAATACTGAACTTGAAGCTTTGTATATAAAAACGGAAGTGACATTAAAACTCCGAGAGGCAGAGCTTCAAGACTGTTTTACAGGTACAGTAAATATTGCAAGCAAATAATTTTAATCTTTATTACAATGTTCATAAATCGAAATGTAAATATCATCAATATCAATTTAAAAAGTTTAAAACAATGAACACTATGCACACCATAATGTTTGTATCTAGGTGATGACCACAATAACATTTTTTTTTCAAAACAAAAAATAAAAGTTATAAAACAATGCAGTTGCGCGAAGAGTAAGTGTAGAATTTAAAAATGCACTGGAATTGCAAAAGTCCTATACATAATTTATTCCACATAGAAAATTATTCATAAAGTCAATGGAATATGTACTTATTTGTGTGTTTCCAGCCAAAGTAAGCCGGCTAAAATTAGAAACAAAATATAAAAAAATGTAAGCAATGTAAAAATCAGATTATTCATATAAACTTAAAAACTAAATAAAAATAGAAAATAAATAGCAATTAACTCTATGATAAAGCATATTACTGATATGTAAACAACAAAACAGTTAATACCTTACATGTAACATCAATAAGATAAAATTGATAATAACCAAAGACTAATCAGTTCATAAGATTGACCATTAATAAAGGTAAAACATATGGTAAATCAACCGAAATTTATTGTGTTTTTTTTTCTGAAACAAATGAGCTATGGATGCAACACTGTTAAGAACGGGTTTTAAAGTTTTTTTCACATTGGGTCTTTTCCGTGACATTGTAAAATCAAATGGATGTTCTTTTACTTAATCAAGTACACAATTCAATTTACCAAGTAATTCGATCTCATTGCATAGAAGACCCTTTAAGCTATCTTATGATATTCTAAAGGCAAACACCATGTTTTAATTGTGTCGGGAAGGACACAAATACAGGATATCTATACATTATACGATACAAAGTTAGTTAACAATGGTTTATAGGGATGTTGGTTGTACCTTACACTTGCGACTTCCGGCCAAAGATATGCTCAATCAAGCCGGGCTTGAAATAAGTTAAGCATTTTTTATGAAATCTGTTATTGTTGGGTTTTTTTAGATTATGTTAGGGTTTTTATTGTTGATGGTTTTTATAAAGTCGTAGAACGATGAAGGTGTCATTATGCTCATATTTTCATCGTCAAGTTTAATTAAATTACATATTTCGAAAGATTGACTGTTATAATGGTGCTTGACCAACAGTCGATATTGGAAAACGTTTTGGAATATATATCCTGCCTTAAATATAACAAGACTGTCCCACCCTTTTTATAAATTAACCGTTATAGGTAAATTCTGATAGATATTTAGATATCTTTGGGGGCCACGTGTTCATGCAAAGTAAATTATAAAATTGAAAGGAATTCTGACAAAATGTAAACTTGTTCTGACTTTTACCAGTTTACTCACTGTATACCCTTGTATGGGCATAATGTCACTTTAAGAAGGATAAATTTAATAATGTTTAACCTAGAGGATGTCTGATATAATTTAACATAACGTATTTTCAGCGAAAAATCTTGCTGCTTTACGAATTTAATAACTGATGACAGCGCAAAATTTTCTATACAGTTAAGATTATTTGATTATATATACAAAGTATACGGGGGAAGTAATAGCACTGTACGTAAGTGTTAATTTACCCAATTTTTACACTAATCTTCTAATAAAAATAATCTTTATTGGTGCCACGCGTTTGTATTTTATAAGTTTCTTGTAGAAATAATAAGTGATGGTTCACGTCAGTGTAAAAGTTGTGATTTGGAAATCTCTCAAAGCCACTTGTTGAATGACGTAAATGCTGCATCTTTTGATGTTTTATAGATTATCAGCAGTTTCATGATTTATCAGCAAATTGCTCTGTACAATCTGCCGCATATTTATTTGTGAATTATATCATACTTCTTTTGATTATAGCAAAAATAAATGGTTAGAACATATCTGCACCACATGCCACTTAATTAAAAGGTATAACGATGTATCGCTGTAACATTACATTTTGTATCAGCTTGTTTTTTTGTGTGTTTTTTTGTTCTTGTGATAGTATTTCAGTGTTAATTTGTTTGAATATTGTCAAATTGTCACACCAGGGTCAGTGTGTGTTTATTCACTATTGTCTATATTGATTCTACTTGTATTCATACAAAATTGTAGCGTTACAACACGGTTTTGTTGACATGACAATTAATGTTACATCAAGCCATCATTGTTAACTTCAATCAAATATATCTTATTGGCATACTCTCGTGATCTGACGAGACAGTTGTCATGTAACTTTCCAAACTAGGAAATGTATTGTTGTGATAAAACGGTGTTTAGCGAACTAGTACATGTATACTGTATGTTTCGTAATTTAAAGGTTGACTGTTGAAAAATGTTGTATGCAATAGCTGTATTTTGAAAACTTGTTATTGTTTTTTAGTGTATCGCTTATCGTATGTAATTATTTTTCATTTGTTCTATTCAAAAGAAAATTAGGCACCTCTATTTTAGATAAGTAGTGTATACGTTTGGTTTAATTGAACATCAATAATGTTATTTTATTCAGAATATATAAAAAAAATATTCATTGCAAACCTAGGCACGATAATCCAATATTACGGATAAAAAATAATCAAAAGTTTTCTTGTTCGACTAAAGCATTTCTTTCTTCTTTTAATCAGACAATTGTCTATTATAATTATAACTACAGACGCCAGGGTATTATTCGTCATTAAGAATGAATCGTGAAGTGCCCATTGGCTTTAAATGATATATAAAACTGCGGAACTTTTTTCTACATTACTGCTTCTCTTCAAGTGTTTTTATTAGTATTTGTTCATGACGTTCATTCAGTGTACTGTTATGATTCTTCTTCTCTCGAGATAACGGTTAAACAGAGAATCAGTAAAAAATCTACAAACAACTCCACAAACGTACAGATACAGCCGCCTAAGACATGTCTTTTGATTAGCATTACTTTTCTTTCAACGTTCATTTCCTTTATCGTTAGCGAATTTATAAATGGTATTATTTTCACCTTTCAACGTTCCCTTCCTTTAACGTTAGTGTCTAGTATGTATGCTTTTGTTAAAGCCTGATCGTTTCTTCCATCAAAAACAACAATAAAAAACCAGTACATACAGTAAAATGTGTCAGTTCTTAATATGAATCATGAATGTCAAAACTCATATTTAAAAATCAGATGTATATATTTTCAGCGAAGACGCAGACTTACTGTGGTTTTGAGGATCCTGATCTATGTGGTTTCAAACAGGACAATATTACAGATGACTTCGATTGGGAGAGAATTCAAGGCAAAACACCTTCTGCAAACACTGGACCAATCAATGATCACACCTGTAAAGACAGACATGGTAAAATATTGTTGTTGTTGTTGTTGTTTTATAGATTAAATAATGTCTATGACGAACAAATTCATGTAGTGTTTTATTATACACTGATATGGAATGAATACGATGTAAAAACTATTAAACTGCCTGCACTTATTATGTTACAAAATCATATTGCATTTTGGTATTATGAAACATATGGTGTTAAACGATTGTTTTCGGTTACTCTGCTGGAAACAATTGGTAAGGATGATATAAAACATTACATTTTAAATACCAAAAAAATAACGATCGATGACTACCAGATCCGACGACATTTCTGCAAGTATTGGGGTTAATACTTTCCTAAAAATATAAGATTTGAACCTTTTTAAATATTGTATTGTATCAGTTCCTGTCAGCATGCATATTAAACATGTTCCACTGTCTTTCAGGACATTACATGTACGTAGAGGCCTCCGGGAAATCAAAGGGCATGACAGCAAAAATGTTCTCTCCAAAGTATAGAGGTTTGAATCCTCAATGTATAGAGTTTTACTATCATATGCATGGGCGGACTACAGGCACATTCACAATTTACAGCAAGGTACAGTAAGCTTGTAATATTTAAAATCCCCATGTGCCAATCCTAAAATTTTGACCTAAAAATAAACACGTGTCATGAGTTACACTTTGTAAGTATTTAATAAGATAGTTTATAGCATCTACCAGTTATCCACAAAGCAACGAGGTAAGAAATGATACTCTAATGCCCTTTCCGAATCGTAAGAAAGGACACTCTAAGGCCCTTTCGGAATCTAACAGCCATCAGCTCCCTTACTTTAAGAATGCGACAAGTACCAAAATCACACTCATCTCATGACAACATATTTTACGCAAGGGATTGTCAATGATGACAAGCACTCAAGATCTAGTTAAGTTCACGTATTCACCGTTAGCTTTCATTAGCATTTTAAGCATTACCCTTTCAAGTAATGTATTTTGGAAAGACTCACTACCACTATTTAAACAATTATCCTGCCGGATAGATATCCTAATGTACCTTTATACCCTTGGATGTTTTAATTATAACGAATGATACCAAAATGAAAGATATTTAGATATTATATAACCAAGAAAATAGTTTAACGTAATTCATTATTGGAATGCATATAATGTTATAATTATCATTAAGTAAATTTGGTATGGTAGATCTACAGTTATTATGTTACGTTTATTTTATATTCATGTCTGTTAATAACAGAGACATTCTTTGTTTCAAACATTTTTTAAAATAATATCATGAAAGCAGTGTGGTCATAGATGTCGAAACATTTTCTATATTTTTGTTAGTTTTTAAAGTTATCGAAAATATTTCAAGATCTTCTAATGATAGTCAATTATGACATTGATATTATATATATTAGAGTAAATCATTTAAAGTCATATTAAAGAAAATCTTATGTATATATTTTCAGCTGAGACGCATACTTTGTATATGTGTGAATTTATATATATTATATATTTATATTATATATTATTACAGTTATATGTAAATACAAAGCTATTTTTATAACCCTTATATATAGAAAACCAGGGATAAGTATTATCTGTAAATATTGCTAACCACAAAAATGCTTTCCGTTGTCATTTCCTTTTTTCATTCACAATAATTAATTGTAGTTAATACATTCAATCATAATTATACGTTCACAAAAATAATTTGCAGCCTCTAACAAGTGATGAGTTCCGAGCAGTTTGGCGTGTGTTTGGTAATCAAGGCAATCTATGGATAAAAGCTGGCGTTTCTGTCGACGAAGAAACTGCACGATCTGGCTATCAGGTGACATTTTTTAACTTTCAAAATTAAATGAAATATTTTCTGGTGCGATCTGTAATAATTTGATCGAACATTAATACTATGAAATTCTCTTGTACTTAGTAACAACAATTGGCCAAGAGATACCTCACTGCGGACCAACAATAATAAGTATATTAAATACTGTGCAAAGATGAAAGAGGTACTTAATGTTCTAAGAGTAGTAAATCTTGTGAAAAAGCAAATCTTTATTAAATGTCCGATTTGACGATACCATCATGCTAGTTCGAAACCAGTTGACGTAGGTCAACAAATGTGAAATGGTGTTGATATAAAATCTTCACATGATATTTCAAATCAAAATCCAATTTTAAACCTCGGCATACATTTATATGCATTTGTTTCTTTACCAACATAAGCGAACCTACATTGATATGTAAGTGTCCTGTCATTTTCTTCTTTGAACCTTAGGAACATAACTGTCCATTTAATATGTATATACCGTAGTTTATGTACCACTTAAATTCATAATTTCGCCCTAACCCTTTTCAAGTAGCAAGCCGTTGTTTCCTGGAGCAAGAAACTTTACAATCATTGCTTAGTACTGGTTGGTTCCAGGAACGAATTCGAGAGTGTTTCAATAAGCTTATGGCTTCCAACACAATCGATTGTATAAACTAAGTAACACATATTTTGATTTATTCGTTTGTACTTGTCGTTTGAAAACATATAAGGAAGAGGAATGTTTTTATTTTTACTTATGTAATACTTGCTGTATTTACAGTTGATATTTGAAGCCAAAACTGAAAACGGTTATGAAGGGGACATCTCGCTGGACGACTTCAAGATAAGAGATGGTTTGTGTGCCGCGGACGCTGCCTCTCTTGAGATTAAACCGCCCAGTCGTTCTGACAAAGAAAGAGCAGCTTTGCTACAGGAACAAATTGAACGTTACAGAAAAATACTTCGCAGACGGCAAAGGATGAGGAACGAACGGCGGGGTACATCAACATAATATAGCATTGACTTATCTTGAAATGCATGTACTATAGTCATCATGTTACCTCAAGTTGAAGGTTTTCTTACATATATGCAAATGTGAAACAGTATATAATATTGCTGGTGTAGAAATAAGTAATAAGGCGATCGAAAAAGATGAATGGATATGAAAGACTGACAAGGCTAGAGAGAAATGATTAGTTTCGTGTAATAACAAAATTATATGTTACATATGGCATAGAGGGGTAACGAATGTTTGTTTTGTTTAGTATACTTCATTTTATATAGATTATTAGCTCGTTTTTTTCTTATACTACTTTGTAAATTCCTGTTAGCTTTATAAATTTCTCGATGCATTATGTCATTCAATTAATTATTTGTATTAAATACAAAGGGAGTGCTGCAACGATACACGAATTTCTCTTTGCTGCTATGGACTAACAGAAATACTTAGATTTTGGTAAATCAAGCGCTGAAAGGAATTGTCTATATTGATGGAAGCTGTGTATTGGTCTATAAACATAACATGGTTTCTTGCATTGTGGAATAAAACCATTTTATTTTTACAATGTAAATTGTATTTTCATTAAATTTCATGAAAACTTCTCAATAAGAATATCGTGTTTAGAATTGTGTATGGGTAAATGAAAAATGTCAATAATAATGAAGTTATTGCCGTTTGATAAAAATGCAGGAATGAATGCATGGCAGTGAAATCTGAATCAAGTATTCTACAGACAATTTGCAGACAGAAGACGTTTTGTGTGTGGGTTCGAATTCACCACTTTTTGTGTACCTTCACACAGACTTTGCACTATTTTTAGTTTAATTTTGAATATAATGTCTGTAAATTTTGTCAGTTTTTAGAATTGCAACAAACTATAACACTAGAAAATAAGAATCTGTGTGATCCTTAAACAGTCCTGTACTTGTTACAGACATGCGTTATCTGCCAATCGTATTGAACAAGAATTACAAAACATTGCGTGTACTACAATAATTAATATGTTTAATATGTGTATTATCTAGAATCGGAATGTATAGACAGCTATATTTATCTTTGATAACTATTTAACAGAGTTTAGATCTATCTCTGCAAATTGTAAAGTAATAAAACGCAATATTGCCATTGTTTTTGCTATGCACCTGTACTCTTTTGCACTAAAGGAACACAGATGCTTCACTTGCCGCAATCGGTACGCAATAGTATAGGTAAAATTTAAAAAGTGTGAAAGGTTACAAAAGCCATAACAAGGGTAACAGTTGATAACTTTGAATTTTCATTATCATATACTAACTGAAGAAATATTTCTCGGATTGTCCAAGTGATATGATTATATCATGTGCTGTTCACATTACATACATGCATTAAATTGTTTTTCAAACTTAAAAAAAAAACATACAACTAGGTGTCACAGAAACGATGTTTATGTTGTAGTATCTGGACAACAGAAAACAAGAAAATTTCAAAGTTAGGATAAACATCGAGGTAAAACATTACAATGAACAGCTGACACTGATAAAAAATGTTCTATAGAATATATCATATAAAGGGGCATTTCGTTTAATAAGTCTTAACTGAATAATGTAGACAAAACGAACAAAACAATTAATAACGAAATCAGGGATGGTATGAGTCGTTCACCATTCAGTACTGAACTCAAGTGTATGTGAGCTTGTAATTTACATAATTTATTTCTAAATTACATTTGCAGACGGATGCATTATATCCTCCTTATATCTCCTTGTCCTAGTTTAAACCTATGCCAAGTTTCGTAATTCAGGGAGACTCTTAAGATAGGCAATGCAGTCTCTATAGATTAAATATTTTCGGTTTAACTTGTAGGTTTGAAAGACCAAGACGTTAACTGGCGACGATACTTGTCTGACTGTTACAAAATATATTTCTGATGGGTGATAATAAAAAACAACTGTCACCGATCTCAAAACAAATATAAATGTTATTTTATTAGTTACAATAATGCAAATAAATTTCTCACATTCTGATTGGCTTTAACACTTTGAAGGGGGAGAGGTGGCTTAGTATTGAAGGTGTCTGCCTCTCAATTCAAGGACCATAGGTTCGGGCCCTACTTGGTCACGACCATGATTATTCACATAACAGTATTGCTTAGTTCCAGCATCCGACCTCAGAAGTGATAAATATAAGTTGCAAAACTTGTTATTCAAATATAAAGTCATCAGAGCGGTGTGACATTTATTTTTTTTTTTTATTCAATAACATATAGAATAAACAACAAAATGAAATAAAAAAAGATTTATGCACCTACGTAGGTTACCGTCTGCGATGTAAAAATACATTGCCATTTGCGCGCTTCGGTTCTTCACTGTATATACGTATAGAAATTGTTTAAGTCAATCGGAATTCGAGAAATTTATTCTAATTATTGTAATTACATGTATGTATATAGATAGTATATAAATGTTTTGATGTAGGTTATTCAGATATCACTATTTCAATGTTTAAAAATCATGCACATTTGAAGCTACTTAATACCTGAATAATCTGCATACTATTTTCAATTTAATTCAAGCCAATAAAGCCATCCCAACGAGATATGATAGCTATCAAGCTAATAATTAACTTCATGGTTTAAAAAAGTAGGAAACAATAGAAAAATTTTAATACTGCAATAATAAAAATATTTATTGATATGATTAATTATCACATAAACCGCGGCGCAGGAGTGTAATAAAGCCATTTAATAAAAACGATATTACACTAGACGATATTACACTAGTGTAATAACACTTTGACGTCACGTCAATGCACTATAAAAATAGCGTTAAAACGCGCTAATGTTAGCGTTACACTATAGGCGCGTCAAAGAAAAATGACTCTTGTTAACCGTTTACCGTTTTTATTTTATATATGTGATAAAAAGAATATTATATTCGTGTAGATTCAATACTAAATTTATTGAACTCGTTGAATAAAACAATATTATGCTCTCCAAAGGCTCGCATAATATGATTTTATTCAACTCGTTCAATAAATTTAGTATTAAACCTACACTCATTCAATATCCTCTATATAGGAATATAATCTGATAGTAACATGAGTCATGGCTTTACAGTAAAATTAGGTTCACGACAATCAAATATATAGCATAATATGCCAAACTTCAAATTATTGAGATTAATTTCGTATCTATATGCATTCAGAGGGCTACGCGGACCTACTGAGACATTATTTCTTGGGTCAGCACAATGTGTTATTTACATTACTGTAAACATCAGCCTTCAAGCTGTTGCAATAGCGTTTTGCATTGGAATCGGACAAACAGGTAAGTGACGATAGATCCAGACAATTATGTTTTTTACTAAAAATACTATACTTCATATGCATTCAGAGAGCGGAATGGAGCCTACTCAGACCTTATTTGTTAGGACAGCACAATGTCTCATACATTGCTGAAAATATCAGAATTCAGACTGTTGTAGTAGCTATTTAGCTTTCAAATCCGACCAACAGGTAGGTGATGATGGTTTCCGGAAAATAGTATATTTTTTCGAAAGTATGTAGATTAAATATGCATGTAGAGGGTGGACAGGGGCTTTGCAACGTGGGCCTCATTGAGACCTTATTTCTTGGACCAGCACAATGTGTCATACATTGTTGAAACGTTAGACTTTTGGCTGCTGCAGCATTTTGCATATCGGACACAAGGGTAGGTGTCTGTGGTTTCCCAAATATAGTGTTGTTTTATCATGTGACACATATTGATGTAAACATCGACTTATCAAGGACAACTACATACGAGCTTCTAAATGTCAATGACAATGTACTTTTATGACCATAATTAAGTTTTGATGTGAGAGGCTTGATGTTTCACAGTGACCTTGATAGATCTCACGATGAATCTTCATGCAAAAGTTCAAAGTTTCCTGGACAATGTATTTTTATTTCATGTTTTGATATCATAGGTTTCTGTATATTTTTCACATAAAAATGGATGGTTACGTAGAACTCATCAATGTGTATCCTGTAAAGTTTCAATGTCATTAAGACGATAAACGAAAACTTAACGAAAAATATTAACCAACGCCGACGGTGCTAAGTGAGTTATGACAATAAAAGAATAAGCGAAGCTGAAAATGAATTTTTCAGGGATGAAATTGCAGAAATCTAGTATTCTTTTATCATAGTGAACCTGAATTCCTTTGAAAAGTTCAAAAGTGAATCTCCGATGAACAAACTGATGCGTGTGTATTTTAATACCTTGAAATGCACAACAGATAACCATGCTGTACAAAAAACAAGTAGAGAAAAGCGTGTGTAAGCAGATTATTACAAATTACTACAGCTGGTGAAAAACAAATGATATAACAGATCGTTTGTTCTTTTTTCTCCTTGCGGTTTTATTATTTAGTTTCCCCTTGTGTCAAAGAGATAAAGATAACAGATAAAACTTACCAGTTAATTTATTTAAAGATATGAAGAAGATCAGCTGCAATTTAACATGATAATTAATTGTAATTTTACTTTTTTGTTCGGGGAGGAGGGCGGGTGTTGTTTTTTAGTTTTAGTTTTCTGATGAGAATATATGATGAATATGGTAAGCTTATACAGATCGTAATGCAATTGAATGATGTGATTTTTGTTACAAATTTACATTTCTTGTGATAAAGGTTCTGAAGTTAAATCTCCGACATGCACCAAATTATCTTTTTATCTTTAAGTTCGTCTGACTTTTCAAGTTTCTTCAAATTCGTTTCAGCCAATTCCGAGACCATCTTAGCTCCTAAGTTTTTACCTGTAAGTTCGTCTGAGACAATCCTGAGACTATACTATATTAGACCCTTAGTCTTTACCTTAATTCTGCTCAAACTTTACTAAGATAACTTTCTTAGCTCAAAAGTGTTTTTACGTTAGTTTCACTTGCGTTTGCGGTTGGACAAACACGGAAACCTGAGTAAAGCATACTTATGAATAAATGAAGTTTCTATACAGATTTTTTAAAGAGTATATTAGGAAATCTACTAATCTATGCATGATATCAGAGTCCATTTGGCCTACCATGTGACTCGGCCTGACGTCGTTCGCCGAATTTAGTGCCGCACTGCAAACAAGTGAAGTTCATCTCCTTTATTTACATAGTGTACTTTAGTGTGTTACAGCTTCTGTTGAAGTAAGTGTCATAAAAACGCACATTCTAAATCGAGAACATAACATATGTTTTCTAAACAGTATATTTTTCATAGCAATATCGAAAGTATATTTAACCTTTAGCCTACTCGGGGACAGCTGCTTCTACCTATGCAGCCAACGCAGAACTAGATCAGACATGGTATACACTTTTTCGCCATTCTGGTCAGTGCATAGTCAGTACATTTTCCTTAAAATTGGGTTTTTTGTGGTAGTCAAGTTCATTTGTCCAGATTGAAAGGTAGTGATACCTGGAGTTGTAAGAGTTAATATATTTAGTTATCGTTTCAGTCATAGGAAGCAATATAAATAAACATAATGTATGACGTAAAAGAAACACGTGTTTTAACAATCAGCAATGTTTTTGCAATTGCATATCTATGTCTTTAGAGCACATAGATATATATCATAGAACATAGCAATCAACTTTGATTT